CGGCTGAATCTAAATTGTGAAACTTATGAAAAACTCCCAAATCAATCTTGATAATTGGAGAAACCCCCAATTGGATTTATCTTGAAACCCCCAAATATTTCTCAACCCAATTTGATTACACCAATCCTAAATTGGACCTTATCAACCTAATTCTAGATGGATCCCAACAAAAATGATTATGTGTAATTATTGTGTGTATGCATAGACAGAGCTTGAAGATGATGAGCAGTGCTTTATAAATTTTTAGGTTTCAATGATGAGAAATGATGCATGAAATGTATCTATATGATGTATGTTAAGTGATGAAAATAACAGAAAAACAAATTATAGATTTTTACACGTTTTGGAAAAATAGCAATATGTGTCAACTGAACCAGCTATGTGTCGACACCTAGTATAAATTTTGCTGCTATGTATCAACCTGAAAATCGTATGTGTCGACACATGCAAAATAGAAACTTCTGGTTTTTAAAAACTTACAGCATGTGTCGACCATGTGGGTCGTATGTGTCGAAACATCCAAAACAGAAACTTATGGTTTTTTAAAACTTATAGCATGTGTCGACCCATGGACTCCATGTGGCGACCTGTACTGATTAAAATGTATATTTACAAAAAATGTTTCAGTATAGGTCGACCTAAAGATCGACCGTGTCGACCCATGCATAACTTTTTTCACAAAAACACTTGACTAACATGTAAACCATCTCTAACATGATTTTAAGATTCCTAAAGATAAGATGCACATCTAGACATATAAAGACAGGTTCAATGTACGTAAATGCTAAGACTCAGTTTTGACATCAATCAAAACATCTAAAAGGATAATGAACTCACAATCACAAGGACATCAGTTAAACCTACATTTTGAACCTTCCTAACTATCCCTTCTTGAAATAACTCTTCCATAAGGAAAGAAGAAAGGAATTTTCTTGCGAGAGTCCATGATCACTAACGTCAGGTAGTTAAAGAGGGTAAGAGGTAGGTTAACTCTAACCCTTGTTGAGAGGAAGGAGGTTTGTTATCAGTAGCTTATACCATATTTTTTCTAGAGGTTTGAGAGTAGAAGCTCTAGAAGGTCTCTCGGGGCTGTCATAGATATGTTTGTAGATCTCTTCAAGGAAGGGATTGTTACTTTTATACCGCTTAACATGAACAATTTTCTTTTCACACCTTATTACATTAGTAATAAGTGTTGGAGTAATGGTGATTGAGAACCCAAGACCCCAAACTGGATTTTAGATGTATCATGTTTGGTTTCCTTGATGGAAGCATTTACCCATAATTCCTTTATGAGAGTGGGGTAAATGGGTCCATAGAACATGTCAAACTAGTTTACCCGTTGTTTATAAACAATAATACCTTAAAGATCAAACCCTTTCTATTTCAGATCAACAAAGTTAACAACCCTCTCATAGAGAGTGAATAAGAATTTTTCATTACCCTTGACAGTTTTGGAAGACATATTTGGTTAGGGTTGAGAAACTGAAGGAGAGAGAAGGTTTTAAAAGAAATTTTGGAAACACAAAGGAAAGGTTTTTATGTGAAAACTGAATAGTGGATATGTTATTTAAACAGGGTATAGGAGAGGAAGATATGGTTGATAAACTAAGAGGTATGATCTGTGATATTGGAGAAGATTCTTTTAGGAGAGCCCAGATGTATGATACTTTACTTAGTGACAAAGAAGAACCACTATTTCTAGACAATATTTGAAATATTCTTGAAAATTTCACCACCTTTGTACCAAAGATAACAAATAATATCCTCAAAATTATTATTCAATTAATGTAACACTTATATTCAAATACGTGCATGAATGTCATAATAATGATCATGCAGAAGTAAGTTGAATCAAAACAATCTAGTAGCACTTCATTCTGCATCTAAAATCTCCTATCTCTTGGAGACTCGTGCATAATATCATTGCCACAAATGAAATAATTGCATTTATTTCTAGATGTTCTCTCTGCACTTTATACTTGGAAACTTCTTAGCACCCCTTCTTGAATTGCAGCCATACAGTGTAATTCTAACATGGTTGAAATCCTTGTTATGCATTCGTCTTGATTGAACTACCTTTGTGAGTTTATACAACATTATTAATCAAGGTTGGTATCCACATGTCAAAAATCTTATTATTGCAATCATTTCCTTAATCATCTAAAAAACTTGTCTCACAATAAATCAACTTATATTCAATGAAACTCATATAAACTTCAGTAGAAAACTTGGAGACATAAAATTTTTGATTCACAATGCAATTAATTATCTCAAAGGGCATATGTACTCATCGATACATGTATTCACTATCTTGAAACAATTTGATATAAAATGTTGACCCCTGCACATTGTGTTAAGCAAAACAATTGAAAATATACACAATCTCATTGAGTTAAATATAACACAAATGACATATCTCGAGGGAAACCGAAACTTGCAATATATGAAAGAGTTTTCTGTGATTCATTGGACAACTACTTAGGTGCATTCTCAACAAAAGTTAGATATTATGATCTCTTTTCAAGATGAACTTACAAGTATCATTTTGACTATAGAGCATGCTTCTAAGAGAGAATGAGAATAACTTTGACTCGAAAGTGATTCTCTACTTCCATACGAACATTCACTAATACTATCATTATCCCATGAAATATAATATCTAAATAAATAAAAATTTCCATACCATTAAGAAATTTTGTTTTAAGATTTCTCACATTTACCGTGAAATTAATAATTATGTTGCCTGTATATCAAATGCATATTTTTACATATAATATATGATTTGGTGGGACTCCATCACAAATTGCGCCAACGATGGTTTCATAAGGCATAAACTTGTTTTTTTTTTTTTTGTTGTTGTTAATTTTGTGATGATGAATTAGGTTCTTGCCCCATCTATTTATTATATTTCTCTCTCATTTATGTAATATTTATTTAACCAAAAAATTACTTCAAGTTTATGGGAGCTTCTAATATAATGAACTAATCCATAGATGAACCTTTTTATTTTTATCAAAATATAATAAAACATTATATATGTTTCACATTTTTATTAGAATCGATAAGGGTCCACTCTGAATTTAAATCAAAGCTGTAACTAGTGCTAGCTGAATGTCAAATAGCCAAATATTCAATCCATGAGGTTCTTAATTTCTTACTTTGTCAAAACATGTTAAAACTTATGTGATGATTAAACATGCTTTAAATTTTGGAGAAAAAAATACATACATCCATAAATATAGGATCTCTATTCAAACTTCATTATCTTTTTGAATATCGGTTAAATAAACATGCTTTAACTAATAAACATGCTTTAACAATATTAAAAAACATAATATTGTGTTGAGTCTAATAAAATAGAGAAATAATATTATTATTAAATTATTTGCACAAGAAGTAGTAGTAAAAGGTTATGACTGTTTTTTGTTCTCGGGATCTGAGTTATGAAATTTGAAATTGAAGAGTTAAGATTCTATTTTCCCTCAAATTTATGTTGATGATAAGAATGTTGAGGACATGACATAGGAAACGAAATGATAGTAGTGGTTGGGAATATTAGTACAAAGAATATATTATATAATTTAATTGAATTGAATTTCTTATATAATGTTAGTAACATAAAATTGATAAGAGAGAATTGATTGTAATAAATGAGTGTTGTGTTGCAATGCATTAGAGAGATAGGGTAGCAGGAGGTGATCAGATAGGGGTGGCCTGCAGAGAGGTCTGCTCTCATTCTCTCAGCTGGGATGGGAGGGACCAACAGCCACAACACAGCACACAATATTCAATGGAGTTTCAAAAGTCAATAAATAAAAATATACAACCTAAAACTGTGCACTTTCCTTTACTACACCCTTGGCATTGTATCCTCTTCTATCCCATCTTCTCTCTATTTTAAACTATTCTTTCTCACTCTGCAAAATAGATTACTGTTTCATTTAAAATTTATTACAATTACAGATGATTTTGATCATATATATTTTATACAATTGTAAAAGGAGGAAATTTAAATATAATTTCTTTATATATGATTTATATTATCTTTCAATAAAAATACGATAAATAAATAAATATATCATTCTTAATAACATTACATAATTTTTGTATCATAATCATCTTCATTGTAATTCTTAAATGAAACAATAGAATACTAAACAAGCACATTAACAAAGATGAAAATTATTGAATGTATGTTTGAATAACACCACTATAAATATAGCTTTTTGAAGCTAACTATATAAATTCTCAAAAAGCATAAATTTTTCATAAAACTATTAATATTATCTTAAATATATAATGAAAATGACTAGTTGCTCACATGACCCCTAAATAAGCACATTATTCATGGGCCCCCCACGTAAAAAAATGTTATAGTAACCCTTTCTATCTCTATCATATCTCTCTCTCTTCTAACCTTTCACAATAAAACTGGGTTTCTACAAACATTTCTTTCCCTTCTTTTTCTCATACAATTCTAAAGAACCTTCTTCTTTCAAGTATACTAGTTTTCACATGTTCTTCAACACTTTTCTTTCTCTCTTTAACTTCTTCAACCATAACACACCTTGTGTTGTGTTGTTTTTAGGTAAACAAACAATATCAATAACTTGAAATTATCTTTAGGGTTTCAAGATTCCTCTCTTAGTCAAATATGAAGGCACCGACTCTTAACTAAGAAAAACCTCTTTTTCCTTCTCTTTGTTCCATTTTCAACCTCATAAATCTCACAAAAAAATATCTTATATATTTTTCTTGGTAATTCATTTTTATATTTATTAAGAATAATTCTCATACCTTTTTATTCTTCAATTTTTTTCCTTTTTATTAATTTGTCAAATCTAATTTTGTTCACTTTAGCCTTCCTTACTTCCTCAAAATTCATTTCATTATAATTAATTTTAATTTTTCTAATTATAATTTTTTTTTGACAATTTTTAGATTTTTTGTGAGATCTAGAAGTTATAATTAGAAGAATTTGAGAGTTGATAATTTTGATGGAGTTGTTGCAAGAAGTGAAAGGCTATTCACAAGAAGAGGAAATCATAACAAGAACAACAAAAGAAGATGAAAGCAGTAGTAAGCAACAATTACAACACTGCCCTTTTTCTTCTTCACCTTCTAATTTCTCTTTATCTTCTTCTTCACCTTCAACAACTCATCATCATCATAATAATCATGATGTCACAAATCAATGGCTAGGAATCAATCATCATCACCATCACTCACCTGAGTCTCACAATTCATCTTCTGGAGGATTAGGGTTATTACACCAACATCATCATCATCATCATCATCAACATCATCAAGATGAAACAACAACAACAACCTCAAATTTCACAAATCAAACAAGTTTAAAACAAATTGATTTCATGGAACTATCACTAGGTAACAACAACAACAACAACAGCATCAAAAAAGATCCTAGTTCTTCGAATGCAAACAACATAAACAACCAACATCAACAGCAACATCAACAAGAACAGCAACAACAACAACAACCTAGTACTCATGAAAAAGAACACATGTTTGACAAAGTTGTAACACCAAGTGATGTTGGAAAACTCAACCGTTTAGTGATACCAAAACAGCATGCTGAAAAGTATTTCCCTCTGGATTCAACATCGAATGAGAAAGGTCTTCTTCTCAATTTCGAAGATCGAAATGGAAAATTGTGGAGATTTAGATACTCTTATTGGAACAGTAGTCAAAGCTATGTTATGACAAAAGGTTGGAGTCGTTTTGTTAAGGAGAAAAAGCTTGATGCCGGTGACATTGTTTCGTTTCAACGCGGCGTTGGTGATTTGTTTCGACATCGATTGTTTATTGATTGGAGGAGAAGATTAAATCATAACCATAATCTCGATCCTTCAGGAACACTTTTCACTCCTTTCTTTCTTCCTAATCAACAACAATATTCTATTAGATGGGGAGGTGGTAATAGTAGATTTTACTCACTTCCTTACCCTTCACCACAATCACAAAGGTTACAACAAAATCTTCATGACCCTTTACAGAACCAGATGAATCACAATTACCAAATGCATCCATTTCATCAACATGGTGTTGGAAATACAAATCCAAATTTCAATTTTCATCATCATGATCCAAGTTCCGTCTTTTACATGAGATCATCCTTACAAGCGACACCATCAATTGTTGATCAAGGAAGCTTAACAAGACAACAAGGAGGAACTGGAGGAGACAATGTTCCAAACATGATTATTGATTCTGTTCCTGTTTCTCATCATTATCATCATCAACAAAGTGGTTTTTCTACCACTGGAAATGGAAATTTTACTAGTACTAATACTATAGCTAGTAGTAGTACTACTATTAATGGTGCTGCTAAAAGGTTAAGGTTGTTTGGTGTCAACATGGAATGTGGATCTTCAACAAGTGATGATAATTTTCCTAATTCACTTCCTTCTTCATCAAATTTCAGAGAAACACTTTCAACATCATCAACAACATTTGAAGAGGACAAGAAAAGAGAAGCTTCATTGATTTTTGGTTTAGACCCTTCTTTGCAATATCATAATTTTCATCAACAAAGATGAAATGAAAACCCAAAAAAAAAAAAAAAATAATGAAGAGTTTGTTACATTATATATATATATATATATATATATATATATATATATATATATATATATATATATATATATATATATATATATATATATATATATATTCAGCATTTTTCTTATATTATAATTATAATACATTCTCTTTTAATTATGATAATGTAAAGTTTTAGTACTTTTTTTAGAACTTCTTTAGAACATATGAAAGAGTTTAACCAAGTTGAGATTTGGGTAAGATCCATAATTTCACAATTCCTAAAGAAGGAAAAGAAATAGATGGAAATGAATTAGATATAGAGCTTAGTCAAATTTGTGTATAAAAAAATAGAATATAAAAATATTGATTATTATTATTATTTGATCATCTCTCTGAGAGAGTACTAGAATTAAATGAAGTTTTTGTCTCCATTAGAAATTGATCTCTCTCTCATTCCGTTTTCTGCATTTAATGATACACAGAAAATATTGTTGCTTTTTCTTCTTTCCTCTAATGTTTCTGTTAGCCTTGTTGGGTTGATGTGGTTCATAACACTGCTACTATTATGCTGCCTCTCTCTGCTCCTTAGACATTTTAGCTTTGCAGATAGACTTCAGAAGAATTGTACAGCTGTAAAAGGGTAATTTCTTTTTTCATCTCTTGTTCATTCATTTAATTTTGCTATCAATTTTTACTGTTTATTCATTTTTTTTTTTGCTTCATTTCCTTTGTTGATGTGTTCTCTTGACTTCTCTTGTGAACCTAGCAGCCACCTTCTTTGTTTGGTTTTACACTGTTCACTCACACATGTTTTAGGTATGTCAAAATTTTGCTTTTTCTTTGCTATATTTTTCCTATTCATGACTATTTGCTTTAATATATATCTCATCTATATTTTCTAGACTTTTAAAATATTCATATTGTTTATTTAATTGCATGTGTATTCAATTAGTCAATATTTTGATAGGAGTTAGATCGAGATCAGATTATTTAAATTTCAAATTTTTTTTTTTAAATTTGAATATAAATTTTCTGATCTAGACCCAACAATCATTGATGACGACCTGTGTGGTGAATATATAAAATTATTAATTTAAATTGTCGAAATTTTATTTAAGAAATTTTTATATATTTACGAAGTTGGTATATTAATGACAAATTTGAAATATGGATGGTCTGATCTAATTCCAACCACCACTGATCACTCACAATATGAATGTCTAGATTTATTGACTAAAATTTTTTCATACATTCACGTAGTCAGCACATCGATGAGTGTATGAGATTAAGATCACATGATCTATATTTTGATCCTCTTTTGAAAGTTGGATCATAAGATTTTGATTCAACCACCATCACTAATTTACCAATCATAGATTGCAGTTGCGGATACTGTTGCGGGTGTTGTTATTGTGATTATGGTTATTGCCGCAGTTGTGAAGCATAATGCGGTCGTTGCATTTAAATTTATATTTTATAAACATAAAATATTATACTTTATCATTTATTTTATGTTTCAATAGCTTCTATTTTCTCTCTCAATTTTTATATATTTCTCAATATCGATTCTCCATAGATTTCAATATCTCTAATCCTTTTCAAAGACACTTTAAATATTTGATATAAATGAGAAGAAAAGTAGTTCAAGTAATTTTTGCCAGCAATACATAATTTGTTGTGGTCCGATAGGGTCCGATGCAGACTAATGAGACTCTTGTGGTGTTATAATACTATTTGTTGCGGTGTTATAAATAGTATTTAGTGTGATTTACAATCACACTGTAATTACAGTTTGACACAGATGCAGACACTATCGCAACTGCAATATTGCAGTTGTTTATTGCAGTCCACAATTTAAAACCATGATATTTACTGTATGAATGCGTGCGTGGCAATGTTGATTCAACGTTGCAAACAATCCAAATCATATATTAAAGATTCCTAATGCATGTGATATTGCTATGTTTAATAGTTAATTACTCTTCATAACAGTCTTTCTTACTGTTGAAAGTTGAAAATTAACAATTTCTTACTAACAATTTTTATTTCTTTTCCTATTTGTCACAGTCATTTCAATAATTACAGCTGATACATTTTTGGACATTGAATCAAGGAACTTTCCTTTGACAATCAAGGTAAATATCAATATTCATATATAGAAATTGTTAGTTTTGTTTTATTATCTATAACATATCAATAAATATAAGATATAAAATATTGGTTACTATAATAAAAATATAAACAATTTGATACCTTTCAATACATATACACACACTACCAATCTAATTAAAAGACAAATTCAACATTCAATTCTTTAGGTTTACATAATATGTCAAAAATATCACTGTTCATCTTGATGAAAAAAAACATTGATGTTAGAATATAATAGAACCATATTGAAGGCAAAAGATGAAAAAATATACTGTTTCATAGCATAAAAAGGAGATATCAAACAGAATGTCATGGTGTTATATAATTGTGACAATGTAGAAAACAAAAGCAACATAGGAGTAGGACAGTAAGATAAACAGTATTATAAGGTTAGACAAGACATAAACATAAGAGCAGGATTTTTGTTTTTTGATGTATACACAGAATTGAATGTGATGCTTGTTTTTATTTGGTGTTAAAATAAAATAATAAGAGTGTATCTTAGTCCTTTGGTAAAGTCAATTTTTCTATGTGTATAGATCCAAAGTCTTTGATGAACACTTATGTCTGATGGAAAATAAATACACTGAAAGAGACTGGAAATTGAAGTTTTGGTTTTTTGGGATGTGGTTTGCATGTCTTAGATTCAAATGCTTGAAATTTTTTACAAATAAAGTTAGATTTAAAAAAAAAAAAAACTCTTTATTTTTTGTATATATTGGAATTTTTAGAAAAAGTAGTTACATTTTTTAAAAAAATTCTCTTTATTTTTTGTATATATTTAAGATGAAAAAAAAAAGAATAATTGTTAATTGTATAAGTTATATAATACTATTATTGCTAATGTTAATTGTTTTTATTCCATTAATATTTCTTTTGTTGATGAATAATTTTTTTCTAGCTATGGGTATTTTATGCAGAAGGGAAAATTAAAAGAAGCATCAAGATGGGACCATATATTGAAAGATTTGAGGCTGCAATTTCAGTAAAATTATAGAAATATTTAACCAAGGTAAAATTTTTTTTCTGGATATATGGGCCTTGTTTTTCTGATTATATTAATTGAAAATTTATTATGTGCATTTAATTTAGCATTTAAATTAACTGTAAACGCTATTGAAAAACTGCAAAAGAAGCAAAAGTTAAGGTATATGTTGATACTTATAATTAGGAACTAGTACTTGGTATTTTATGGTTAATTGAGTGGGAAAGGGACTTTGTTTTACTACCTCATTTTCCTAATTTGCATGACTTGGTTTTGATTTTTTTTCTTCTTCCTTATTAGGTGACCTCCATCTAAAACAATGCTTGATTTTGGTCAGACATTCGGTTTTATAGTCAATTAGAAAATTGTGAAATGATGTCATTTTCTCTAATAAGTAAGTTAATCCACAACAATTAGTAGATTAGATTAAGTCTAGCATGTGTATAGTCTTTCACATTAGAGTGACTTATGGTTCAAATTTAAACACATAGCTATATGTTTAAATTAGTGTCTTACATATGATTAGCTCTCATATGGGAAAAAATTATGGGAAAAAAATTGGTATAATAATGTTCACAATTATGAAGAAGAAAATATATAAATGTGTTGGACTCATATAATCAAAGTTTTATTAAGGTATCCATATTTAATGTTATGCTTTAAAAAATATTTTTAAATTAAAGAAAATTCACCCAAAAACATTTAGATGAGATGGAATGAGTCTTTTCTTATCCAACATTCGATCTCTATTCTGAACATGCAACGATGTTAAGATACTCGATTTATATTAAAAAAAATTAAAGAAAATTTATAAGAGTATGCTAAATACACTTGTTAAACAAAATGTTATATATAAAATTCTAAGTTAAAAAAATAGTGTATTCAACTTTTTGAATGTTTAAAAATTATGCTTTTAAATAAGAATATTCCATTTTATGAATTCATAAATAATGTCATTAGAACACATGTTATCTTACTAATTCATATTGTGATAATATGACTAGTATAATCAAGGATAAATTAATAATTATATTTTCTTCTTATAATAAATTAATAAAATTAATTTGATAACTTTATATTTTTATCTTCTTATAATACTTGTTTTAAGTATAAATTTCATTAGTCTTAGTAATTTACTTTTATTTTGGTTATTTTTCTTCAAAATTCAATTTATGTCTCTTAAATTTCTTTTATAATTTTTAATAATATTGATGTTGCTTTAGATAAAATAGATTAATAAGTGCATAAGTATTTAATTTTTCTTATAATTTATTTTATTTTGTTATTTTATCTTGAATTAAATTCGTAAAATGAAAGAAAAGGTGGTGACTTCAAATTCAAGAGTTTACATTAAAATAAAAATTCACAACCAAACTACTAGACTATAACAACATAGCTTAATTATATTTAATAATTAAGTCTAGAGCGAATATAATAAAATCGGTAATACTCATTGATTTTCTTTAGGTTTAGAGAGAAAAAAAAAACAAAATTTTCTTGTTTGGGCCAGCAAACTAATAATTTATTATAAGCAAGTTTAACATTTATTTTAATTATTAAAATAATCAAATACATAAGATAATATATCAATTAAAAAGCATATAGTTCTCTATGTGCATTTCAAAACTTGTTGGAAAATATGAAATAAATTCACATGAAACAATTTGCGTATGTTTCACTTTCACTTTCATATAGGAAACAATTATTATATATTGAATACTTTTTTTTTTGTTTTAAAAAAACCAATGTTTATTTGTTTTCAGGGAGTGGACATAAAAGCTTAATGTTTGATTCAAGACCTTGAATTTCATTGGACATAGACTCAAACTATTCAGCTTATTTAATGGCTTGAGACTAAGATTTGGTTCTTGATATTCAATGGTTTTGTAAGGATTGGATGAGGTATCATCCTAAGAATTAGAAATGAAAATTTGTGAAATTTGAATTATTTTCATGAGAAATATTAGGTAGAGGAGTCAACAAATTCATCATCTTAAATTCAAATACTAATATGAATGCTAATTGCATTCTTAAAAGGTTGAAGATGATGTTAATATGCAAAAACAGTTTCATGAATTCAAACATGCAAGAATGGTATATTTGATAAGTTTAAATATCATATATTCAATATTCTGTCTGATTAAATGGATATCTAGCAAATTATTGTGTTTGGACTGATTATCAAATTTATGTTGAATATTTATATTTTTAGTAAAATATAGAAATCTAAGTAATGATAATGAACTATGATTTACATTTGAGGATTCTAGTTGAAAGTTTATTTGTAAGTCATTCTCCAATTAAAACACATTCACCCTAAAAGGAGAGAATAGAGAGGATTTTAGTTGGGATTGAGATTTTATAAGATTTTTTATGAATTTTTTTTTTGAGGTTTTCAATTAAAACTTTTATAACACTCAATTTTTTTTATGATAAACTTTTATAAAACTCAATTTGAAAAGAATAAAGACCATGAGTGACTTCCTTACTCTAGTCAATCGTATATCAATTACGAGGATAAGATATTGGATGGAGATATTGATATAAATAAGGCCTCGAGAAATGTTAGAAATGGAAATCAGTTGGACAACATGCATTGTGAGGACAAAGTAAAAGAATGGCATAAGGGACCGCAAGCTAGGTTTACTTAATATACTCCATTGAACACTTTAATAGATAACTTTTTAGATAAATGTGCAAACACCGAGTTTAAGGAGGCCAGGGTGAAACACCTTTCCATATGAAAGAATCGACACAGACTGAAAAAACAAAATTTTGTAGGTTTCACAAAATTCATGGGAACAACATAGACGGATGTGTTCATCTAAAGGATACACCAAGGACGAGGTACTAAAAGAAGCCTATAATAGAATTTAGGATTTTCCTAAGAGGTCTATAAGACAAAGTGAATTCTCACGAAGAAAATATTCTCCCAGAAGAGGTGATACACTGCCAAAGAAGGCAACTTAGGTCGTCAAGGACACCAATAAAGACAAAGAAAACATTAAAGATGAGGCAGATATGAAGGGAAATGATCTTTACAAGCCTCCACATATAGGGCTATCATTTCCTTACTTATATCACTAGAGGGTTCTCGCATCCAAAGATGCGGTCTAAAGGGATCTTGAAGAAGAAGATGATGGTTATAGAATTAATGATAGTATATAGAAATGGACAACTATCATTAGAGAGAAAACTGAACGACCCATCCTAGGGTTCAAAGATAGTGAAAAGTATGAGGCATCCTCAATAAAATCTTTCCTTTAGTGATTATGGCCACCGTGGACATTTTTGTTATGTCAAGGATCATCAGTGGGAGGAAGCTCATGCAAAACTAAGATTTTCGAAAAGTTAGGTTGCAAGAATGAGAAATTATCGCTCAACATAGGCACATTAAGCTTCAACAGATCTACGACCCTCTCATGGGGCTTCATTAAGCTAATTGATACCTTTAGAGAAGGGAGAAATGTCTAGACCATGAATAATAAATTTCTGGTGGTCCCTTGCAAAAGAGTTTAGAAATACATCCTAGGGAGACCCTTCATAGAACCATTTGACACCGTTCTACCTACCTTCCAGCTGAAGATAAAATATAATAACATTGATGATGAACCAATAATTATTTGCACAGACCTAGTCAGAGCATGTTGAAGGTGCAAGAAACACAAGAAATAGGGGATTGAATTGGGTTTCACAAAATAAATTTTCTCAAAACTCAAACACCAACCCTTACCAGAAGAATAAAAATAAATGAACATAATTATTTTTATCCTGGTTCACTATTGACGAAGTTAATCCAGTCCACCCGCCAAGGTGATTTTTCCTTCTCAATAAGGACTTAATCCACTATAACCAAACTGATTACAGAACCACAACAAGACTAATTGTTAATGTTGCAAACCAGAATGACCAACTGTCAATGTATTCTTCAGAATCTTGACTAGACCTCTAATCTCTCAAGGAACAAAACCTCAAAGACCAATTATCAATGACTTCTTGAGTATACAGACTAACACTTAGTCACTAAAGGAACTATCAACTCACTATTGAATACATGTTTTTGTGTTTAAAATATTTCTTCTCAAAAACATATTACACAAGATTGAAGTACAGATAATAATAAAAAAGTGTTAAGCGAGTTAACGAACAAAAGTTCCTTGCTAGCAAGTTAATGAGCAACATCTCCTTACTTTACAAAAATTACATAGTTATTTTGGCAGCGTTTCAATAAATTGAATAAGCGTTTCTTCAAAGTTCTTCAACAATTCCAATTCTTCCAAGTATTATTTTTATATCCAAAATGAAATCCGTTGAAGAGTAAAATAGAAATACCAAAATTCCAGCTCTCTTCTCGCAACGGTCAGTTAGAATGGTAGACAATCTAGTACAAAATTATTGTTCTTGCGCCAAAAAAATAGTGTAGTGGAGGCAAGGTGATGTTGTACCTTGTACTATCACTCACATGAAACCTTTTCATTTTCTCTTCTAATCTTCAAAGGCTTCTGGATGTATAATGGTTGAAGCATATGCGTAGCAGGATCAAAGCTAAGTCTCCAGAACCATGTCATCAAAGACTTTAGAACATGTTCAACCCGGACCTTGATCAGAGTCTTTAGCACTTGGTCTTCAGAGTCTTTACAACGTTTTTCATCAGAGTCTTCAGAACTTCGTCTAACAGAACCTTATCTTCAAAGTCTTCAGATGTTGGTCTAGAGAACCGTTGGTCTTCAGAGTCTTCAGAACTTGATCAACAAAACCTTGTATTTAGAGTATTAAGAACTTGGGCAAGAAAACTTAGAATCTTCAAGGCTTGAGAACATATCTGAAGCTCTACTATGGAGTCATAGTTAGAAGCAATAAAACTAACATTCATTAGAACGGGTGCTTTAAGACGCATTTTAAACTATGAAACACAAACTTGTATCCTTTAGTGTGTTGATTCCAGAATCTAATGACGTCACACATCAATTCCTCAATGTCAGAACCTGTTAGCAAAAGCTACACACTAAACA